AGGCAGGGACCGTGGAAACAGGAGTTTATACTGAGCACGATGGTCACGTGTACATATTGAAGAAGCTATAGAGGAGTCCTGAATATTTATGACAAGAGAAACATGTGGCTGAACAATGGAGCTTTCTGTCCTTTTGTGGGGTCCCTGTTCAGAAATGGCCCTATATCAATAAGGCAAAACAGGGACATCAAACCCTCTCGGTGGATGCTCTGTAAAGCCACTCTATGACTGGTGGTCTTTTATCAGGAAAGAATATTAGCCGGGTGCTTAGGGGGGAAATAAAACCTGATTGCCATTAGCAGGAGAGCCGGTAAAATGATGTGTACCTGACCCTCCATTACTCACGGCCGGGAACTCAGCTTTATAGTTTCCTTGGAGATCCCCTTGGCCAAGGTGGGGTATGTTCCTTCAGAAAGAAGCTTAGGATTTTATTTGAGTTCACAATCTTGAAAATGACCATGAAGCCTAATGACTTTTATTAGCCACACAAGAGTAATACAGTGAGGGCTGGAGAGTCTAAGAAGTCTGTGTGTTCATATTGCTGGTGAGGGAGCCTCTGTAAGGACGTGCGTTCAGAGGACCACAGCAAGTGGAAATCAAGGGGCAAATCGGAGAACTATGGTGCTTCGGTTCTTTGCCATCAAGAGTCCGGGAACTACTCTGTCCCTCTGTGACTTGCGAGTGCTGACTGTGGCTAGCTTCAGGGATTTTGGGGGGTCTTGTTTTTTAACTACATTGGGGTATCCTACAGAGTCCATGGAGGAGCTCAGCTTGCAAACTGAGAGGACACTAAAAGGATGTCAAGTCTGAGAAATAGAGAATCTAGAGCTTTTCTAACAGTGTTTCTTAACAGGGGCACAATTGCCATTTCACATAGGACCCTTTATTGGGAAGGGTAGAACCATCTGTTTCTGATGTGTGACATTATAGGTTCTTGCCCACTAAATCCCAGTAGTGACCCCACTCGTGTGACAACCAAGTAAACATACTGAATGTTTCCAAATGCCCCACAGGGAGATGATGTAATCTGTGCTTTGAGAACCTGACCAAGCAACCAAGCATGTCACCATTATTGTGACTCAGCTGTAAGGACTTTTGGGAGCCACATACTTAGCTTAGGACCTCAGGCTACTTGGCTTCCAGTCAGAGGCCAGTTCCCTAACCAGCCTGAGGGGCTGGGGCCTGGTCACACCATCTCCAGTGTGGTGGCCCCCTTGATAGCCTTATCCATAAAGGGGAGCCCGTTGCAGGACAAGGTAGGTATTTTTCAGATAAAGTTGCATATGTCCACAATAGTTAAATTCCTCAATTTATTACTTACTAATTTAACATCAAGTATAACAATTTATTGGCTGCCCTAGTGGGTGATTTCATACATTATCTTCTTTAATTTGTATAGCAGGCACCCACAGTAGGTAGTATAATTCCTGTGTGGCAGAGGAAGAGTGTGAAAGTCACAAGGACTAATTTGATTAGGGAGATGTAACTAATACGTACATGTGGTTGAACAGAGTTAAGTAGAATGAAGAAGGGAATAGAAGTGTTTCTGCGTGTCAGAAAGTACTCATTTATATACTTTTTGTTAACAAAATATGAATAAAAGTTAAATAGAAGAAGCAGCCTCTGAAGGTATATAAAATTATATAAAATGCTTTTTGTTCCCACATAGAATCCTATGTTTTTATTTTTCATCAAGTAACCTTGAATAGATTGCATCACTCTGAACTTTAGTTTCTTCAATAAAAAATTAGATGTTTGGATCAGAAGATGTTAAAGCCTCTTAATTTTTATTAATTGGGAAATATTTGACCATTTAAAATGTAAATATGTTGATTTTGAAATTTATTTTTACTCTGTCCGTGAAACCTGTTAAAATGAATATAAGCAAATAAAAGAGTGAGATGACAGTAGACAAACGATGTCAGTGAGATTTTGGTAGCTGCAAAATAAATGGATGAGTGGTGATGAAGATCAGAGAAAGGGGAACCCTGAGCTGGCAGAGTGAGAGGAATTCAACCAGAATTCAACCAACATGCTCATTAGTAGGGAGGCATTTCAAGAACATGCAGGAATTGTAATTGTCTGTTACTGTGAAGGTGGATGTGTGGGGTAGAACTAAAAAGAGACTTGGCTGAGAGATTGCACGAAAAACAGAACACTCAATGTTCTTCCATCTGATAAGGCCAGGCATCCCCTCCACACTCCAGCAGAAGACCACAGAGTGCCTGAGCGCTTGAATAAGAGACTATTAGGCTCTGCAACAGATACAACTGAGGCCTAGTATGAGATGTGACACTGAAAATGAGGGAACTCTTTCCTTTAAATGAAAGTATACAAGGTCAATTAAGTTTGCAAACTCATCCTAGAAAAAGTGATACATGCCTCACTGCTGAGTGTCACTGCGGTCACCTTCAAGGTCCTCTCCCTGGCCATCTGGTGACTAATGATATTTAGTAACAAGGTATAGAGCACTTTTTCTAGAATGGGTTCACCAACTTAATTGTCAGACCTCATATCACTGTAGCTCTTATGGCCATTCCAGAAAAAGACTTAAAGAATTGTTCTGAAGGGTGGACTAGGTGCTAGCATCAGTGCATAGCTTCCCAAGGGGAGGACCTCAGAGATGACCTTACTGATAATTCAGCAGTGAGGGATAGAGCACTTTTACTTGGATGAGTCTGCGAACTTAGTTGTCTGACCTTGTACATGCTTAACAATGGGATTCCCAGTATTCTGGCAACCAGGCTTATACTTCCTCTTAGGAGACTGGAGAATTCCCCTTCAGGGAAATGCCCAGGAGGGAAAAAAAAAAAGTGTGGGTACTGATATCTGAATAGCTCTTGATGAAAACACTGGGTTGCCATTTTGACAGTAGAACCTACCAGTTGGCAAGGCCCATATGTGAAAGCAGAGCTTCCCAGTCAGCATTTTAGAGCCCCAGTCTTAAATAGTTAAGAACAGGTAGTAGCAGGTGGCACCTGTGGCTCAGTGGGTAGGGCAACAGCCTCATATACTGAGGGTGGCGGGTTTGAACCCAGCCCTGGCCAGTGAAAATAGCAGTGACAACTGCAACAACAACAACAAAGAAAGCCAGGCATTGTGGAAGGTGCCTGTAGCCCCAGCTACTCAGGAGGTGGCAGCAAGAGAATCGCTTCAGCCCAAGAGTTGGAGGTTGCTGTGAGCTGTGACGCCACAGCACTCTACCGAGGGCCACAAAGTGAGACTCTGCCTCAAAAAAAACACAGCAACAGGTAGCAGAGTGTTACTGTACAGCTGAGGAAAGCACATAATATAGAGAGACTAGACAAGCTCACAAAACAGGGCAGGGGAGGGGGCAAGTATTAGAAGAAGCAGACTCTGTACTTTCCAAGGCAGGGAAGAGCCACCGCCATCAATCTCTTCAGAAAATATAAGGAATTGTGTTGTTTCCACGAAATATAAACAAAATACCATTTAAAAGGAACATATATAAGAAAGTCTTATTAGTAGTTAGCTATTTGATAGGAGAAATGGATCAAGAGATTTATAGCAAATGTAGTCAGATCTTCATGTAGAAAACACAGGAAAAATAAGAGACACGTTTAGTGATCCAACTCAGGATATCCCATTTCTAGATAATAGAATCATAGAATTTCCAGAAATACAAAGTAGAGAAAATGGGGAACAAGAATAATGTAGGGCTAGGGGTTTAGGACATTGATTCTTTTTCCCACCATACACTACTAGCATTTGACTGTGTTAATTCTGTAGGTATAACTTATATTTTTAAAAAGTACTTAACAATTGAATGTTTAAAAGCAAGAAATATTTACATGCAAAGGTTAAAAATATATATTTGAGTTTTGGTTGAAGACCAAGAAAAGTAAAAGTGAGGTGGACAAAATACTGTTTGGATTTTGTAAAGTGCTAACTACTTACTTAAGGAAAACTGCTTCGACCCGACTGCCACAGTCAGATAGACGGAGGAGAGGAGCAGTTTTACTCTGGAAGCAACAGCAGCACAGATTGTTACCAGTCTTGCCAAAGAGAACAGTTTCCTCCCTGCTGATTTTCAATTTGCGAACAAGAAGTAGTCATGATTTACCTGAATTATAGTAAGATTTGTAAGAGTGGTATGAAATTCCTGATAATGTTTTCATTCAAGATGTGCTTATGGGGTGTCTCTGATGGCGAAGCATTGTTCTAAATGGTTTATTTCTGTTGACCCGCGTAATCCTTGAATAGCCCAATACGGGTAGGTCCTATTTCTGTTCCTGTTTTACACATGAGGAAACTGAAGTACTAAGAGGTTAGGTGGCTTGCCCAGGCTTAATTAAGCAGCCGGTTACAGAAAAGGCTGGGATTTAAACCATGGTCTGCTAACCATAGAGGACACACCCTTAATTACTTCCCTTCCGCTCTGCTTGTTGAATAAGGAACACTGGGCACCTAGGTTAAATAAATTGTCCACATTCCCATGGCTGGTTATTTTGGAAGAGAGAAATGGGTTTAGTTGTAGAGCTTCTGTCAGCCACTGAACGCTTAACTCATCTAGGCCAGTCTACTCTGGTCGCATAGCCAACTGTACATGCTGACCAGGGGGGAGAACCTGGGTACTCCATAATGACCAGTCTGGTGCCTATTATAATAACCTGGTATCATTTTTCCTCAAGTACATTCTAATACTAGAAGTGTTCACAGTTGTTATTTGATGTGTATTAAAAGTTTCAGGATAGCAATCTGAGAATTCTGAGAAATTAACTATGTGTTCGCAGTCTATGAAATATCGCTACTGCTAAAGTGATTGGTGTAAAGAAATATGTGTCTTTTATTAATTTATAATTGTAGCCCCATTTTAGTGATTAGTGGGAAACATCAGTGTGATGCACATAGTAGGAATGTAAATATTTGCATCCGTTAGTGATGTGCAACATAGTACAGTGTCTCCTGTTGTTCACAATTAATATCTTCCTTTCAGGCATGAATGTGACAAATTTGGTTGGTCTGTTTATTTTTCCTAGTTCAACTTTGTGGGGAAACTTTTGGGTCCACGTGGCAATTCCCTGAAGCGTTTACAAGAAGAAACTTTGACAAAAATGTCCATCCTTGGAAAAGGTTCCATGAGAGACAAAGCAAAGGTAATACTTGTTGTGGGCGATGGCTACCTTTTTAGTCCAGCTATATTATGTACCTTTATGTTAGCCATTGTAGTAATACGTTTATATATACACACATAGGCTAACTAGGATCTCAAATAGAATTATACTGAAATGTCACATAAGGTACTATGTATGTGATACTTTTTAGAAAACTGAGTTACTGTGACCAGTTTCAGGATATGTAATATATTAATACTGCATCTGTAACCTTAATGGTTTTATATAACACAAAAGCCTAATATATACATTGTTTATTCTAATAGTAAGTCATATGCTATCTTATAGGAAATCCGGCAATATCAAAATTATGAGGACAAGTCAAGTCCACCTGTAGGCGTACCATCAGTGTCTGCATTTTAGATTTGTTCCTCTGGTTCTTTTTTTCCTATGTCTTGTATAGTTCAGTTTGTAATGTATACACTCTCATTTCTCCTTTTGTGCTTTATTTGATGTTAAATGCATTTTATCAAGTTACTAAAATTGATTTTAAGTACTTCAGTGATTGCTCACTATTCTCACACAATCGTAATGTGTCACTTATGTTGTTCTCTAATGTCACTTACTTTTCTCTCATTGTTAAAAGACTTTCATTACTGAGAACCAAATCCATATTCAGTGATCACACACCATGAAAAGTTCACAGTGATCATTTTAGACATGAAAGTTATTTAGATAAAATCCAGCCTTCTCTCGAACAATCTATCTAAATAATAGCTTTTATAATAAAATAGCCACTATTTGTTTATCGAACCACCACTGTGAGTCAGGTATTTTGTGAGATAGCTTATTTTATTTATGTGTTCATTTTTCTTGACACAGAGTCTTAAGCTGTCACCCTGGGGGTAGAGTGCCATGGTGTCATAGCTCACAGCAACCTCCAACTCTTGGGCTCAAGCGATTCTCTTGTCTCAGCCTCCCAAGTATCTGGGACTACAGATGCCTGCCACACGCTGACTATTTTTTTGTTGCAGTTGTCATTTTTGTTTTAGCTGGCCCTGGCTGGGTTCAAACCCGCCAGCCTTGGTGCACATGGCCGGCACCCTATCCACTGAGCTACAGGTGCTGCCCTGGTGAAATATTTTACATGCAGTCTTTCATGTTATCTTTGGAAGAATGAGGAAAGATAATATTTTCCTTATTTTACATGTAAGAAAACTGAGGTTCAGAGAATTTGAGTATATTGTCTAGGTTAATTTGAGAACTTAATTGGATTGGGTGAACACAGTAAATAAAACTTTGTTTCCTTGACACTTACACCTGTATGTTTTCTAAGATGGAAGTGGGAAGAGTGGCACCCATCAGACGTCATAAGAGGGACTGTGTAAAAACACAGATTCCCATACCTCAACTATTTAGGTTCAAGTCACAAAATCAATTTTCAGTAGGTGCTTGAAATGATTCCAATGCATGGCCAGGATTTGTTGATAACTCATTAAGCGTCACTGTTTTAAATTATGTTACTTTAATTTTCTGACTCAGCTGTAGAAAAAAATGTAAGCACGTGCTGGTCAGCCAGCGTGCTAGTCTGTGTGTTTTGTGGGAGCATGCTCCGCCCTGTGAGACCCTTTATTCACTCTCTAATAAGCCCAGGTAATAACGGGCTACCACGATAGGAGCAGTGAAACCCACAGGCAGGTCTCCATCGTCCTCCTCTGTTGTCGTTGGTCAGAACCAGTGTTTGATATCAGTCAGTGATCACGATCAGGGCATCCACTAATAGATTTACACGTGGAAAAGAATCCAGGAAGGAAAATTTTTATCTAAATTATGTGCCCAATTTACCAGCAAGTGCTTGGCTATCCACATCATGGGAGCGATCCCGAGTACTATCAGCTTGCTGTCGGGGCTGCTGTCCTCACAGGCGGTGCTGTTGCATCCCGGGCTGTGGTCGCTCTCTGTCGCCAGCATCTCGGGCACTCGGGAGTTGCAGTGGCAGTCAGTCGGCCCTTCTGAGAGAGTCAGTGTTGTGGAGGAAAGCGTAACTTGTCACCCCGTCACTGTGGTCACTTTATTTATGAGCACCTTGAGTAGCACTGAGGTGCTGGGAAATGAGGCTGTCTAACATGATCCCCGTGGCTGAGGAACGGCTGTGTCTTCTCTGCATGGACGTAGGACACCCTCTTTTTATATATTTAGACCTCTTTTCTAGACCACTTATCAGCCATTCGCTAATCTTCTCATTTCGATGTCTTTGATCACATGGGTCAATGATTCAATATAGGGATTCTAGAAATGGCTCATGACTTATGTTTCATTAAGACACCCAGGAACTGCGAGAATAGTACACACTGAACTCACAGTCAACTGACAAAACCAGCAGTCCATTTATTTCCTGATTCCATAAGTCCTGCTCTGCCTGGTGACCCTCAGTGGACTGAGATGAAAGTCAATTCTCTTAATTCCCAAACTGAAGAGGTATTTTTTTTTCTCAGTGTGGTCACTGTAGGAAAAGGTCCCAGGTTCTTTCTAGGAGGACTGAGAGCAGGTGTCACACACTAGCCGATGTGGTAATTACTGTCTGAAATCATCCTTCTCCCCTGGATTTAACTTAGGTTTCGTAGGCCAGGGTATGATAAGGGGGTTAGTAGTGAAGTGGGAGAACTGTCATCTCCTTTCGAGGAGCTACCTCAGCTGCTCAAGCAGTGTAGGAAAGGCCTCGTCAGCCAGGCTTCTGCTGGGATGGGAGGCTGAGTATGTGGGTACTGGTGCTCAGTTATTTGAATCCTTCTAAATGTTGCAAATTCAGTTCTCAGGTTTTCTTCCTTATCCAGGCACCATCCTAAGTCTCACGTTGGAGTTGCCTGGGCATCTGCGTGGTAATTCAGAAGCACACAAACCTAAGCTCTGCATCTCTGCTGGCTCCGTCAGCCAGTGGCTACAAGCAGTAACACCTTCTAAGGATACTCTGGCTCTTTGAACTCATAACATACCAGCCCCAAGCCTGCCAGTTATTTCTTTAAAATCTTGAATACAGTAAGAAACAGCTCATTTCACCTCCTCTCTCTTGCCCGCCCCCCACACTGTGAGCCTCTGCCACATGACCTATCAGTTAATTTCCTTCAGAAAGCATCTACTCTAGGTGACCACAAGTGACAATTTAAGTAAGAGGTTTGCTGCTTAAATGGGTACTCCCAGTTCCCATCTGCTCTCCTGTAATCAGATCCTCACTGCCTGAACCTGTGGGTATTGAGGTAGTTGATCCTTTTTACTAATTTTAGTTTACAGAAATTATTAGCTAATAACGTGTTTATTTCTAAAGAGATTCTCATTATTTAGTGTTAAGATATCATGCTTTTAGATTCTCTAAGTTTTCACTCTTTAAAAGCTAATGTGAATATAACTTCTCAATGTATTTGCTATGTTGATGAATAATGGGAGTCCTTCCTGACATGTGCAGCTAGTTATATAAGATAATAATCACGCTAATGCTGTGGTGTGCTGAGCCTTTGGTTCCTGCCAAACGTCATGTTAGTTTGCCCACATCATTCACACCTTAGAATAGAGTAATTAATGCTATAGTTAGATAATAATTAATAATTATTAATACTACAGTTATTAGTTGAGTGCGTGTTATGTGCTAGGCATAATTCTGAAGACTTTCTGTGTTACCTCCTTTATTAATACAATAACCTCATGAGACAGATACTAAACTGTTCATGTGCAGTTACCCTGTTGAAAACCACCCTTTACATTGGATGCAGTGTAGGGTATACGGCACACCTGAGTGAAGGACGCAAATACAACTTGGGACTTTCCTAACAAACGTAACCAATGTAACTTAATCACATGCACCCTTATGTTAATCCAAAATGTTTAAAAAGAGCAAATAAATAAATAAATACAGTGAGGGTAATGTAACCTGCCCAAGGTCATACTGTAAATGTGAGGTTTCAGATTTGAATCTACAATGTCAAAGTCTGTGTTTTTTCTCTGCCTCTCATCATAAACCCATGGTATCGTCTATGGAATTGTATAATGATACAAAATTCTTCCTGTGTGTATTTGTGGGAGGAAGATAGGTTGATCCCTTATGAATGCCTTGCCTCAATCCATGGGAAAGTGTGCAGAGGTGCCATCCCTCGGGCTCATCAAGACCACAAGAGATGAAAGGAGTTCAGAGGTGCCCTAGATAGAGCAAAGTCACTAAGACCATCCCTGCACACAGAGTCAGCCGGCAGCAGGACTCAGCCCTTAGCTGGGCTAAATCCTTTGAATTCCTCATCAGCAGTTAGATTAGGGAACCTGATTTGCTTGCTCCGCTGGAGTGAAACTTGTCTTCCCCTCCCTCCTTTCCTAAATATACTTATGGGCAATTGTTGACAACTCACTACCCAATGTTCCCATCACCCAGCCGTTTTCTCTTTACCTAGTCTTCTAGGGGCTTAGAATGCTTCTAATCCTGTTACATTTTGCACCTACGCTTTGTGTTAGAGATCAACACAAGGTTTCCGAGAAGTCAGAGTCCCTGCATTGATGCGATATACCCTTTCTCCAGGCCTCTCGGACTCTCCCTATTAGCTGGTGTAGAGTTTCAGGATTCTTCCCAGCCTCACCTCCCCTGTTGAGTCCCAGCCCAGGTTGGGGTCCTCTGCCAACCCTGATGACGTACATGCTTCTAACATGAGCATGATGGGTCTCTTGGCTCACAGTGGGTTTGAAAGATGGTGTTGCCAGGAACTCCTGGGGTTATCCCTCTTATGAAGTGAGGTCTTTGAAGAGGCTAAAAAGATTTTCTACCTTTTAGAAATCACTCTAGTCTCAGGTTCCTGCTAATATTAATCTGTCTGATTTTAATATTGAAAATAATGATTAATGGATGTCCTTGATTATCAAAGTCTGGACCTATAATTTAAGTAAGTTAGGAAAAGGTGAGAGCAAAATCAGTAGGGACTTAAAAATCTGAGTTGTTTTCCTCTCTTCATTTCCCCCCTGAATTCCATTATGTAAACTAAATTAAAAAGTGTAAAGCCTTTATTATAATTATGTAAAATCATGTGATAAAATCTTTCATTTATTCAGGTTTGGTCTCAGATGGTATATACTGCCTGACAAGTAAAAATATTTTTGAATGAATATGTGAATGAGCATATAATCCATTCATAGAAATGAATGAATAATTTTTAATCACGCCTTCAACACGTTTGTTGAGCATCTCCTATATGCCAGGCGCTTTCTAGACAGAGAGAGCACAGCACCAACCAGACGGTCATGATTTCTGCTCCACAGTGATTACCTTCCAATGAGGGAAAATCAAAAATAGACAAGTAAAAATAAGGTATTGTGGGGTTTTTTGATGGTGACAAACACACTGTCATAGCATCCCAGGAACATGGCCTAGCAGTGCAGACGAGAGCTGGCTGGTTAACTTGCACTCCGGGCTGTGGGGAGGGGAGACAGGAGACCCCAGATGGGGAAGTCACCACAGTGGGCAGCAGTGGGCAGACCAGAATCAGGAAGGAGCCTTTATTCTAGCACAGCAGGAAGCCCTGGGCATGTCTGCAAGAGCCTGTGAATGCAGCATCAGATTTATGGTTTTCCTTCTCCTTTAGAGTGGTGTTTGCTGCTGAGTGAACCTTCTGTGACTACCACATGCCAAATAAGCTTTGGGCAGCGTGATTTTCTTTTTTTATAATGATACCTTTTAAATGTAATTTTTTTTCTTTTTTTTTAGGAAGAAGAGTTGAGGAAAAGTGGAGAAGCCAAGTACTTCCACCTCAATGACGATCTCCATGTTCTTATTGAAGTGTTTGCCCCCCCTGCAGAAGCCTATGCCCGCATGGGACATGCCTTGGAAGAGATCAAAAAGTTCCTCATCCCTGTTAGTACAGTTACGCTTTAACGTCCTGTCTTCATTTACAACTTAGTAATTCTGGTACTTGTGATTCGTGTAGCTCCTGATCTGTGAAAAACCTCTATGTACATTATCTCAGGTAGACCTCACAGGTGTCCTGGGAATTATTTGGCATTATTTCCTTTTACTGTGAGGTATTGGAGTTTTAGAGAGATTAAATAATAAAGCTGAGGTCACATGGCTTAAAAAAACAGCACAATCACCAATTCAGGGTTGGGACTCCAAGTCGTAAGCTTTTGTGTGACGCTGAAGACAACCTTTCACAAATCCGTTGTCCTCCAGCCCAAACCCGTTAGTGCCTTCTGTGTGCCAAACGTTGTTCTTGGAAAGTTGTGCTGCTCTTGGTGAATATGTGATTCACGGGAAAGGAGAAAAGCAACAGATGATTTCAGCACATGATAAATACAGTGACAAACAGTTGTGCTGAGCGTGGAGAAGGGGGTGCTGGCTGAATATTCCTGTGTAGCCCGCTGCTCAAAAACAGCTGATGGTCTGCTTTAACCCTTTCAGACACATTGACATTGCTAAGAGTGAGGTAATTCAGAAGGATATTCCTCTACCTCTGGTACGAAAGTTAATTCTTTTAATTACACAAAGTCTTTCATATGATTTATATGCTCTTGATTAAAATTAAAGGATTCTATACAGAATCCTTTGCAAGCCCAACATCTGGGCTCGCTCCAAGGCGGTTTCTTTGTACTGCCTTTATTTTTTATTTTATTTGCCTGAGTGTGAGTTGCATTTTTCTATTTTTTTTTTTTAACATCTCTTTGCTTTTTGTTGAAAACTATATTTTAGTTAACATTGTAGCAAATCTGGATTCTGGGCATTTTCTTCCCAGAAGGTTATGGTTCTTTTTTTTTTTTTTTTTTTTTGTCTTCTGTTTCTTTAATAATTTAGTTAGACTAAATCTGTAGTGTCTGTCTCCCTTGTGGCTACAGCCATTAATATTACTTTTTAATGCTTTTTCTACTTTTATGTTTAAGCCTGGTCAACTAGGAGCATTCTCTGTGTCAGTGCTGCTCTGGCCGCCTGTGTCAGAAGCTGATGGGCTGTGTGTACACTGGGGACAGTGTTTAAAGGAGTGTGTTTTCACGTCTGCCCTGCCTTTTACTTTCCCCGGGATTCCTGGGTCACCTCTGTATGTGCAGAGACTTACTGTCAAGAAAGGGGGTGTAGAGCCTTGACGCCCCGTTCTTTGCTGTGCTTGAGCATTGGCTTCCACTCAGTCAGAGGGGTGTGGAGAGCTTGTCAAGCCCCTCCGTGGCTGTCTGATTTCCTGAATCCCGCTGTGAAATTTTGGATGGTCTTCTGGCCTGTCAGTTGCCCTCACCCAGGAAGCAGCATTAGGATCATGGATTCACTGGCCTTCCCTACTTCCTTGCTACCAGAATTGTTCTGTTTTGCTGCTGTCCGTGGGATTTTTCAAAAATTAAGCTAGTTTCTTCCTCCTGGGTTTTCCTGGCGTTCCCTGATCTAGAGAGAGTAGCGTACCAGCTGGGCTGTGGAGAGTGGCAGGATCCCCAGGCAGGAAGGCTGCTAGCTCTCACTTTTTTTACCTGAAATTTAGCAGTTTTTCATTAATATATTCATTGTATTGTCAATTTGTTGTGTACCTGCAGTCAGTTTCTAGACTCCTAAAATGGTGAAACCATTTTGTGAGTGATTACTGCTGCCTTTTGTAGGGAGGATTTGCTGAGCTCCTCCCTTAGCTGTACTGAGAGTGCCACGTCCTCTCAAGACCTTTTTTAGAACTTAAGTCATTTTGGACATTGTCCATATGAGCCTTTGCAAAGTTTCCCTTCATTTTCTTTAATATTTAGGTAATATTTCATTATATGCACGGTCCAGAATTTATTTAATTGGTCCACAAAGAACCAATTGTGGTTACTTCTTATAGATTATAATATAAATAGTGATCTCAGGACTACCTGTAGATGTGAATATTGGCATATTTTAGCAAACATTTCTGAAGAGTAAATTCCTAGCAGAAAACCTGCTGAATTTTAGGGTTACTGTTAATGATTTCATTTAACTTTTTCCCCCATTTTCCAGGCCAATATATATTTAAATAGATTCTAACTTTACTGAATAGGAAAGAATTGCTTACACATATTTAACTAGACCTGTTACTGCCTTTGTACCTGTAACAATTAATAATGGTGTTAATATTAATGATAAAATAGTTTCATTTTTTCCAATAGGGAGTTAAAATGAAATTTAAAATGTAAAATTATATAAAATAAACCTGTAAGCTATCATGAATGATTGATTTCCCTACTGACTTGAAAGCATTTTTCAAAGACTAAGAAAACTGTAACTGTAATGATTATATCAATAGTGTCTATTTGAAATCAGAAGAAACAGTCCCCTGAATTTTTAAAAATTGTGTGAAATTACTTAGCTGCTAAATTCAGTTGGTTAAATTCAGGTTTATCCTCAGATATGATTGACTCAAATTCCATATTTTTATTTCTACTATACTGTTTCTATTTTAACATATAGTTTTGTAAAGGTGATATTGTTAAGGACGTCATAGTTTTTTATGATACCACTGTAATCATTTAATCTTAATTAGAGCAGTGATTTTTAAAAAAAAATTCTTAATGTTGTTTCTGAATAGGTCCTCAGCCATGTTCTTATTCTATGAATCTGTTTTTAACCACATACAATTTAGTATCACACCTCTTAGCGCTTCCCAGCAGGGCAAATATTTAGCATGTAAGCAACACGTTTTATTTAGAGCTTAACAAATAATTAAGTTATAATGTGCTTTATCAATCATTTATTAATCTTCACCCATTGTTAGTAACATGATCGAGAACATATTAATGGTGTTGCTTTAGAGAGTTTGAAATAATAATAAATCAAATGACTCCTCTGAGGTCACGATACTCCACGTAAGGCCGGGAAAGAATCTGTGTTTCCAGTAAAGCATCGATGCATCCTTAGCTTTGCCTGTTAATCACGGTTGACTGGCTTTGGCCATTTGCTTGTCTTTCCATCTACTTTGTAAGTGTCAGCTCAACTTGACTGGCTATCAAGAGTTCCCACAAACCTCTGCTTGGGTTTGATAATTTCCTCTGACGACTCACAGAGCTCAGGGAAACAATTAACTTTCTACTATAGTTTATTTAAGGGGTATTATAGAGAAGCAGATGAACAGCCAGGTGGAGAGGTGCACAAGACAAGATGTGAGAGTCTATGATAGTCTAGAGCTCCCTCGTGGAACTGGGGGTGCTCCGTCTCCCCTAGCACTTTGATTCCTCAGTCTAGAAGCTCTTGAGGCTCCATCATTTAAGGTGTTGATGGAGGCTTCATTATTCGGGGATGATTGATTAAATCACTGGCCCTTAGAGATTGCATTGATCTCCAGTCCCTCAGTCCCTTTCCTGTCCCCAGAAATCGGGGGCTACAGCTAAAACTCCCAACCCTCTAATTATGCCTTGCTCTTTCTGGCAACCAGCCTGCATCCTCCAAGAGTCACCTCATTAGCATTACTCTTAAATAAACAACGTTTTATTTTGTTGGCTTTTTTGTTGGTATTGCTCTATTTTCTGTTATATTTATTTCTGCTCTTATTTTGTTATTTTTTTCTTCCTACTTTGAATTTAGTTTTTCTTTTCTGCTTCTAAAAGGTGAAAGTTTAGGTTATTGATTTGAAATCTTATTTTTTAAATATAAGCATTTAAAGTAAAAATTTTATTCTGGGCAGTGTTCCAGATGTCTTCTATACATTTTGGTGTGTTGTATTTATTTTAATTCATCTCAGGGTATTTTTTAACTTTCCTTGAGGTTTCTGTGTTGATCTAGTGGTTGTGTTCATTGCATTCATTTTTAACGTATTTATGACTTTCTCAGGTTTCTTTTTAATGGATTTCTAACTTAGTTCATTGTGATCAGAAAATACACTTTTATTTCAGCCCTTTTACATTTGAGTCTTATGCAATGCCTGGTGTATGGTCCTTCCAAACCTATTCCGTGTGCACTTGAGAAGCATGTATTTTTTCAGGCGTCATGGTTCATCCACTCTGGCTTTCACTTTTATGTTATCTACCTTTAATAATGGTGGAATGATTTTTCCAGAAAATAAAACTGAAATATCCAACTCACCTTCATAAAATCATGAAAGGCTTCTCAGTACCCTTTATTTTAAACATTTAAAGTTATCTTAAAAGTGATCTAAGGCTATGTGTGATTTGGCCTCTGCTTTTCCTTTCAAAAATCATGAGCCCTAACCCCAAATTGCTTTCACCATTTGACGTCTTTTGGCTCCCAATATTATTTTGGATTTTCAAAGATCTATTTCCTTCTGTGTGGAATACGCTGCTGTCCCTCTTCTGGTAATTAGTTATCACTCATCCTTAGATTAATTTTGTATTTCATAACTTGTATAGTATCCACATGGAAATGTACAGAAAGCGTGTGTAAGTGTGGTTTAGTTTCAGGAAAGCTGTCCTGCAGTACGTGTGTCCTTTGCCAGGTCTAGCTGGGTGGCTGCTGGGGCCACGGCTGACTCCTCTCGGTCTTTGGCTTACTCAACACATCAGAGGAGATCCACAGCTACTCGTTGAACAGGGTTGTAAATGGCAATGTCCACATATCGGTTATCTGGTATTTTAATTTTTTTCCAATTTTTTCACTTGGAAAGTGAGCCCAGAGAAAGGAGTTTATGGCTGATTACAGAAAATTGTACCTTGGAGAAAAAGTACCATAATTTTCTTTTTTAAAGTTTTACAAAATATTTATTTATTGACATAGTTTTACTTTCCTAAACTCATGTCTTGTTTTGTGATTTCAACTATTTTCCAACCCCCTTTTCTCTTAAAAACTGCTTGCTTTTTGTTCTAAATATTTTTGTATTTCTACAAATTATGCTATCTTCTGTCTTTTGTGTAGGACTATAATGATGAGATTAGGCAAGCACAGCTTCAAGAATTAACATATTTAAATGGTGGTTCAGAAAATGCAGACGTTCCAGTGGTTCGAGGAAAACCGACCTTGCGTACAAGAGGTGTACCAACCCCAACAATAACCAGGTAGGTGTAATTAATTGACTTAACTTTTTTTTAGGTTAGAGTACCATGGCCTCAGTTTTAATGTTTCCTTTATTAATATCCAGAAACATCTCTATCAATGTATCTGTCCAAAAGATCTATTCAGCCAAGTGCACTGGCACACACCTGTAGCCTCAGCTGTTGGGGAGGCTGAGGCAGGAGGATTGCTTGAAGTTAGGAGTTTGAGAACACCGTGTGCTGTGATGGGCCCTGTAAAGTGTTGAGCACTCCAGCCTGGATAACATATCAAGGCCTTGTTTCTGAAAAAAAAATATATATATATACATATATGTATATATGTATATATATATACATATATGTATATATATGTATATATATACATGCATATATATTTTTTTTTCTTTTAAGTCTATATTCAGGCAATGTGATGCCATATTAAGGGGATTTACTTTGAAGTAAGGTATTTAAATACAACCTGATAATTTTAGGCAGAGTATTATTCACGATAGCATTAATTTTTTAACTTGTTAAAATGAGGCTTGTTTTTATGTAAGTAATAACACTGATATGCGGATGGGATAATGGTCTCTTGTGTTTTCACAGTGAGTAGAGCATCAGGCTGGTTTATGGCCACACAGCCAAAGCCTGGTACGGTGTCAGGCACACGAGTGTCCAAGTGCCTATTGCCAGTTTAGTCACTGTGAATGCTCCATCGTGTCTGAAATTCCTGAACTGGGCCAGGCACACAAAATTTTCATTAAGTCATTGGGAAAAAGTACAGTTTTTTTCCAATTAACCTAAAGATCGCATAGACTTTTAAAAGATAGAATTTATATTGAATTAATTTAAAATAGCATTCTTTTAAATTAAATCATAGCTGTGTACATTGATGCAATCATGGGGTACAATGTGCTAGTTTTATACACAATCCAAAATGCTTTCATCAAACTGGTCAACATAGCTTTCATGGCATTTTCTTAGTTATTGTGTTTCTACACCTAGTAAATGTCACATGTACCCTTGTTAGATGCACCGTAGATGTGGTCCCATCAATTACCATCCCTCCACCCATCCTCCCCCTCCTCGTACCTCTAAGATTATATGGGAAGACAAAGGTCCCTTTCCCTCCTGAGCGGTGCTGACCAGAGCAGTGTCACACGTAGCAGTTCTAAGTGGTGCTGCAGTATAAAACAAACATAGGTCTGGGCGTGCTACAAGTGGACTTTCTCTGTTAAAAAAGGACTAATAACAGGACGGTTGCTGTGGATAATTTCATGAAGTAATTTATATAAGTGCTCAGTAAATGGTAAATCTCTTTCATTTCCATTTCTTCTCCCATTAAACTTACTTGAAATCATAAGAAATTACTTACCTGCTATATTGGTTTCAGTGATTGCTATGACCAATTACCATACATTTGGTGGCTGAAAACTGTAGAAATTATTCTCTTATACTTATGGAAGCTGCATGTTCAAAATCAGTATCGCTAGACCCACATCAAGGTGTTGGGAGGGCACACTCCCTCTGAAGGCTCTGGGGGAGAATCTGTGCCGACTTCCTTCCAGTTTCTGGTGACTGTGGGCACCGTGCTTCTGGTTTGTGGCCACATCACTCGGATCTCTCCTCCCCCTTCCCCTTCCTCTTCCTCTTCTGTCTCTGATCTCCCTCTGCCTCCTAGTTTACAAAATACACGTGCTTCTCTATTTAGGGTCCACCTCAATAATTCAGGGGGGCCTTTCTATATCAGGATCCTTTTTCACTTCTTTCACATCTGCAAAAGTGCTTTTCCTAAGTCCGGTTCCTGAGGTTAGGGCAGCATCGCTTTGGGAGTCCTACTATTATTCCTCATGGCACATTTGCCATGTTTGTGTTCTGGTTTTGATGGGAGCTAGTACATTTTCTCAAAATGCAACAAATCCGACAAAATGTATTTTAAAAACTTTTTTGAAAGTCTTCAAACTTCTCCTCTCCCTACATTATCAGTTTATACTTGTTCGTTTGTACATGTTTGGAACAAATAGTGTGTGTTTACAATGGGTGCTTTATCAATACACAGCAGATACAGACCTCACAATCAAGGCATTGTCTCTGTACCTCTTTAAAATAATAAAAACTCTAATCTTGTCAGATCCTGCCTCCAAAATGAAATAGAAAATACATATGCTGTATGTATAAATAAAGAGGGAAAAACGTAAGCCTTCTGGATGTGACACTTGTATGCCAGCATTTCTATTCTGTTAATCACACACACACACACACATATATGTACATACATACATACAGGGTGGACATAAAGTTCATGTGCAATTTACTATGTTAAACTATTATAAATTGCAAACAAACTTTATGTCTACCCTGTGTGTGTGTGTGTATGTGTATAGATATGTATATAAAGATATCTTTCTATGTCTTTGTATATATGAAAGCTTTCTTTTTAGTCACATACACACACATATAAACCTTACAGAAATAAGGTTAGTACACAAAAGACGTACATGCTATAAACACTTGTTTTCTATATATCTCTATATGTACATGGCAGAATTAATCCAGTGATGCTTATTTTGATTAAGACTAAATTACTCTTACTTATTTCATTTTCCAAACAAAACACTCTCGCCAGAATAGAAAGTAGAGAGAATAGAGCCCTCCCAGTGCCGTTGTTAGGAGATACTGTGTATCTTAAACCAGAGCTGCCATTTTTACTGAGGATAATTTCCAATTTAATTGTCAGGTTTTAAATTAAGTTGAAAATGTTATTAACAGATGGGGAGGACAGATACTTTCGTTTTCATTTTCCTTGGAATACGATACCTGAAGAGATAGCTCCATCTGCCCAGATGAGAAACTGTTCCTCTTGATTATAGCGCACGTGTAGCTTGTCATTTAAATCTGTTTCGTCGTCTTGACGGTTCGTCCTCTCTGATAGGATTATTCTGCAGTTCACGTCTCAGACTCTGGTTTCATTTTGTGTTGGCCTAACGGCTGCCAGACTTACATATCTGTATTTGGTTACTTCTGGTCGCCATGTGTCTGTTTGAAATGGTAAGTAGCTCCTACACCAGGCACCTCAGGAGCCGCTGAACCCTCGACCCACTGCCTTCCCTCCTGGTTGTCTTTCTTTTCTCCATATGGTCTTTGGTCCCAAATATTCTAAATGCCCAGTTTTGAAAGCGTAAGTTTATATTCGCAGAGCAGCCATTTAAAGCCTCTCTGTATTTTTTTCTCAACAAATCTCTCTTCAGTTGACTCTTGGTTGATTGTTTTTCCATGTTCCCTGTGAACTGAACCCCCCAGGCTAGACTGTTGTATAAGCTTGCTTTGCACGTTCTGTGTCTCCACAGGTATCTAGTTCTTCCTTCTACCCGTCTCACCTTTTTAAGGCCCCACTTTATATCCTACCTAAACATATTTTAACAAATACTTAACACAGCTCCTAATCACTTTACAGATAGCAACTAAGTTAAGCCTCAGCAATCCCAGAAGGTGGGCACTAATTTATTAATATCACCTTTTTTAACATGAGGAAAGTGAAGCTGGAGAGGTAACTTACTTGGCCAGTATCGTGCAGCTCGGTGGTAGAGCCGGATTGGGGTCCAGACGTGTCTTCGTAATAAACCCCTCCCCTTGGTTTGATCCTTCCCTTGTATTTTCATTTAGAGTATAATGTGTTTTTTTTTTAACCATTCTTCTACCACAGTTTTTCCATAGAACTTTTGCTCTAGCACTTTTATTGTATTTACATCATGATAGCACTTTTAATATAAAGTTATGATGAACATGTATTCAGTTATGCACTGTAAAATGACACAGTCCACAAAGGACTGAACATACGATAGTGGTCTTATAACATTATGATAGAGCTGAAAATCCCTAAGATAGGGTGTGTGTTTGTCTCTTAGCTTTTAGCAAAAAGCTTAAAAAATAAAACTTTAACGTGCCTATAAAATAAAGTAAAGAAATAAAATGTTTTTTATAGCTGAATAACATTTTTGTGTTTTAAGCCAAATGTTAATATAGTATAGTAGTCAAAATATTAAAAAGTTTATTTAAAAAAAGTAATTCATTATCAAAGAAAGAGAATTTTTTTTTTTTTTTTTTTTGCAGTTTTTGGCCAGGGCCGGGTTTGAACCCACCACCTCAGGTATATGGGGCCAATGCCCTACTCCTTGAGCCACAAGTGCTGCCCGAAAGAGAAATTTTTTGTACAAACTCAGTGCAGCCCAGCATGCCACTATGTCCTGGGCCTTCACAGTCTCTCACCACTCACTCGCCGACTCACCAGCAGAAACCTGTCCTGCAGGCTCCATTTGTGATACGTACCCAACACAAGTGTCCCATTTTTTATTTTCTATCCTGTATTTTTGCTGTCCCTTTCCTGTGTTTAGTTGCTTTTAGGTACACATACGTAGCCTGATGTTGCAGTGGCCCGCAGTACTCAGTGCAGTAATAAGACGTAAGGTGTGTAGCATAGGAGCAATGGTCTGTACCAGGTAGCCTGGGTGTGTAGCAGGGAGACCTCTAGGCTTGTGTAGATAGTGCTATGATGTTCGCACAACAACAAAATCAGTATGTAAGGACTCATTTCTCAGAATGAATCCCTATTATTAAGCAATGGATGCATGATTGTGTTTATTTACAACTTTTTCTCATGATATAACATGGGGTAATTAATGCCACATGCCAAGTAATGCCTAACTAATATCCTCTAGTGGTAAAAATAAAGTAAAACAAATTGATGGGGACTGTATACACTGAGAAGGCCACATTGAGAGGGAGGCTGCCAGGCACTGACTAGTGGAGACCAAGCGGCCTGGGGAAGGGATGGGCTGTGTGATGAACAGAAGGGAGCAGGTGTGGCTGGAGTGACAGGCCCCATGTCAAAGAGGTCTTTGCTGAGGGCCCGGTGTAAAGTGGCCATTCCTCAGTCCAGAAGCTGGCTCCTAACATCCTGCCTCAGTTACCTAGTACTGTTTGTCAGACTGAATTAACGCATTCACCCCCTTGTCCATTCATTCCTG